ATACAATATATTTATTATCATTGCTATTATATTTAAATGAATAAGTAAATAAAGATTTAAAATATTTTTTAGCTTTCATTTATAATACAGTAGATACAAAAGTTCTTTGGGATTCTCAACGATCTTTAAAAGTACGTAAGAGTTCTGAGACCAAAATGTATGAGGATTCCTGTCTTAAATCTCCATTAATCACTTGAACTCACAAAATTGTGGGAATTTGTAAGTGCGGTGGTAGAGGCCAAAAGGGGAAGGTGACTTCCTTACTACTCAAGGTCACATAGTGAGTCAGAGGCAGAGATGGGTCTAGATCTGTGATCTCTGGCTATAGTGTGTTATACAACCCAAACTTCTGCCCCAGGACACTCTTCAGAGTGCCAACATCACAATTTTGAGATACTCAAGCCATAGATAGGGAGCGATAACCATCCTCCCCTCAACATGCATCTGCTCAAACAGGAACGGGTACCAACTAAATTGCAGGCACCTGTGCTTGTTGCTGCTGAGGGCAAAGTAAATAAAAAGTGGCCTGTGTGTAGGGGGTAACCAAGCTTACCATTTAGAGGGAGAGACTACATGAAAGACAGTATGTCATAGCATAGGATATGACTTACCTGGCATGTAATGTAATGTATATTCATACAACCTATATGATTCTCTTATCGTACACAATATTGTATGTTATATAAGTTTTATTATATCGATAGCATATAATATAGTATGGTGGAGTATGACTTACAGTAAATACATTTAGCATATCTAGGAATGGGGAAGTACTTTGGGGTCACGGTTGGCTGGCAGTTTTGTGCATGGGCACTAAGGCCCGTGGCAAAGCAGAACTGTGAACTTGGGAAGTTTGCCACCGTGCTCCTTCTGACACGTTCTGGCTGGCATTAGTTTTCGAGGGCTGTCATAACAAATCACCATAAACTGCGTGGTTTTTCCCACACACAGAAATTTATTCTGGAGGCTAGGAGTTGTACATCAAGGTGTCAGCAAGGCCATGCTCTCTCCAGAGGCTCTAGGGAAGGCTTCTCTTCCTCATCTCTTCTAGCTTCTGGTGTTTCTGGCGATCCTTGGTGTTCCTTGGCTTGTAGAGGGAGGACTCCAATTTCTACCTCTGTCTTCACGTGAGCTTCTCTCCTGCAAGTCTGTGTTCAAATCGCTCTCTTCTTATGAGGACATCAGTCATATTTAGGTCCTACCTTAATCCAGTATGACCTCATCTTAACTTGATTACATCTGCAGAGACCCAAATGAGGGCACACTTACAGGTTCTGGAAAGACATGAATTCGGTATATGTGGGAGGCATTATTTAACCTAGTACACTGCTTGTGTGCTTACCCTCAATCCTCACTGTTCACAGCCTCTTCATCATCCCTCACATTTTCTCTCACACTTTTCAGGGCCTGGGGTCCCGTTGAGCCTCACCTGGCCATCCTCTGTTGGGGTTTTGAGTGGTTGCCACAAGCTCCCTTCCTTAATCCATGATAAACTCATGGAAACAAAGGGCTTTTTGGAGCCACATAACTGGTGAGTTGTGAAGGAGGAAAGAAAGAAACTGAGCAACTCAATAGTTAAAAAAAAAAAAAAATGAATACCCTGATTAAAAAATGGGCCAAGGACTTGAATAGACATTTCTCCAAAGGAGACGTAAATAGCCAACAGGTATATGAAAACATCTCAATGTCACTCACCGTCAGGGAAATGCAGATCAAAACCACAATGAGATACCACCTCACACCTGTCAGGATGGCTGTCATCATAAAGCCCAAGGTCAACAAGCATTGCTGGGGATGCAAAGAAATTGGGACCTGTGTGCACTGTTGGTGGGAACGCAATTGGAGTAGACGCTGTGGAGAACAGTATGGAGGTTCCTCAAAAAACCTAAAAATAGAACTACCCTATGATCCAGCAATCTCACTTCTGAGTATTTATCCAAAATAACTGAAATCAGGATCTTGAAGAGATATTGGCACTTTCCCCTTCAGTGCAGCACTGTTCGAGACAGGCGAGAGGTGGGAGGAGTCTACGTGACCATGGACAGGTGAATGGATAAAGAAGCTAACTGCGGTGGATACACACAGTGGAATATACTCTTCAGCCCTACCATGGAAGGAAGTTCTGAAAATGCCACACCATGGATAAACCTCGAGGACATGATGCTAGATGAGTTCAGTCAATCACAGAAAGACAAATATTGCCCAATTTCATTCATATGAGGTCACTAAAATTGTCAACCTCATAGAATCAAAGAGTAGAATAGTGGTTTCCAGGGCTGGGGGGAGGGGCAACGAGGGGCTGCTATTCAGCGGGAATAAAGTTTCAGGTAAGCCAGGAGAATCAGCTCTAGAGCTCTGCTGTACCACACCGTGCCTGTGGTCAATAGCAACATAGGGTCCACTCAGGATGCCTAAGGGGGGAGGAGGTCTCATGTTAAATGTTCTTACCACAAGAAAGGAGAAGAAAAGAGAAAGGAGAAAAAAAAAAAAAGAAAGAGGAAGATGAGAATCTTTACATGTTAATTCTACGGCTCCTTTGGCAATTTTTTTTACCGGGTAGCATCATGATTTACGACAGAGCATAGTTTACTGGGCCTAGCATGATTTATGGCAATAGGGAAAATGTGGGGGGCTGTGAAAGTCAGCATCCTCTGCACCTCGGGCACAGCTGTGTGCACACAGACAGAAGGGTGGGATGTGTGCATATAATCCCAGCACTGTCACCTTCAGCTCTGTGACCTGCAGCCCCAGGTTACCTGTTTGGGGCTTCAGGTTGGACTCTGGGCATGACAGCAGGATCTGGAGCCAGATCGCCTGGGTTCATGCCAGGGACCCTTAGGCTGCTTATCTCCTCTCTCTCTGCCTCAGTTTCCACATCTTGCAAAAGGGTGATAATATCCCACTACATAGGCTTCTCATGAGGAATAAATGAGTTAATATATGTGAAGTATTTTGAACAGTGCCTGACAATGTAGACATTAGTTGTTGTTATTACATGAATTTTCTATCCAGTTAATAAGAATTCCAATATTTTACTGGTTCCTCCTTCAATTCCCTTATCATCACTCTCTCACTGCCCCCACCAGAGGTAAAATAGGGGACAGTATGTGGATGTGGCTTTTAATTCTTCCCATGTCACTTATAATGGGCCCTGGGGAACAGTTCCTTTGTCAGGATGTCTTAAAGGACCAGGAACCAGGTGCCTGTGGAGTGAGTGCTTCTTGGGAAGCTCTTAGGGAGCCAACATCATAAACTCCAGTGAGCACCAAGCTATTATTTAATTAACAGTTGCCTGTCTGAGTGTGGCTTTATCGGTAACTTTAAGTTCTGTGGGTAGGTGTGGCGCCCACAATGTGGCCTCCCACCTTTCAGATTTTGTATAACGGAGCCCATGGTGTCTCAGCTACTCAGGGAGCGCATCTGTTTCCAGCACCGAGGAAAAGCGAGACCTGAATAAGGATGGGGCTTTTGGCGTAGTTAAGAGAGAGGTAAAATAACTGTAATTTCATAGCAATTACCTACAACCAACACCGTCAAAGGCGCCAGTTTTCCGTGATAAACCTGAGCCTCTGCTGGGAGCAATTTGCAAGGTAGAAATAAGCACACAATTAGGCTCTCATGTATGAAAGAAGGCATCAGCCCCTCCCCATCCAAATGCCACAGCAAAACAAACCTCAAAGGGGAAAATACTGTGTTGCATTTTGGGAGTGCATTTTTTTCTCCTTCTTTAAAAAAAAAGTCTTAATAAGCCCACATTCCAGGATGTTGTTTAGGTTGTTTGCAGCTTTGCCAGGAAGCCCGGGAGCCTTCACTCCCCTGGCCCTCCCTGTCCGTTGGAGGAAGACACTCCAGCCACCTGATGGGACCACGGTTTCCAGGGGAGCCATCAGCAAACTAGAGTGAATGGGTGATTTCTCCCTCTAAGTACCATGTCAGGGGCCCACAGACCACTCCATGGAAATAAATTATACAGAGATCAGTTTCCTAACATTTTTGTTTGTCCATGCATTTGCTGAGAATGAATTCCTCATAAAATTCATGTCTCTGCAACCCACTCAGAAGTAAAACTAGACTTGCCTTTCAGATGATAAAATAAAAAAACAAAAAAAGTCACTCTATTTTGAGAACGGTCCCAAGAAAGGGAAATCTAGTGAACAGAGGTATGCAAGCACTCAATAGGGCTATCTGTTATTGTTATATATGTGTTCCTGCCCCATCCGCCAGCCAACCCCACAGAAGGCCACAAGCTCCTTGACTAAATGCACTTTTGAATCCCCTGTGTGATTTTCTCCAATGCCTTGTACATAATTGAGAGTGAATTTGCATTTACCGAGTAAAAGGGTAGTTTAACAAATGATGGCTTATTGACACTCACAGTCAAGTACTGGTCAGCACTAAGGGGGCTGTTGATTAAAATCTTGAGTCTGCTGTCTAGATATAGAGAGATGGGGTCAAAGTCTGAGGTATTTGTACTCATGATATATCATGGAGCAAAGACCAAAGGGTAGAACAGAGTTAATTAGAGAGGAACATAGTTTGCCTACGTATAGCCAAAGAAAAGCATTTCTAATTGTTAGAACTACCTCAGAATGGACTGCTTCGAGAGATAAAAATTACTGGTTCGTGGAGATGTTTAAGCAGAAACTAGATGATTACTTGGGGGTATAGAAGTTGGTGGTCCAACATCATTTATGTTAGACTGTGTGATGTTTAAAGTCTCCCTTTCCCCTGAGATGCTAGGGTCCTATGGTTTCGGAAAGTTATGACTACATAATCGTCATGCGGGGAACTCAGACTCAGTCCAGCACCTATTTATTGAGTCCTTACCGTGTGCCAGGCATTGCCCCGCATAGACCTGAGGAAGACGACAATAAGATAGGGCAGCTGCCTTTGGAGTTAGGCTGGATCATGGCTTTAGTCAGTTCTCCATCGGCCGTATATTCCTTCTTGGCAATATGCACATGCTGATTTAGGACTCTGGTTCTTTCTCTTCCTTTTAGGCTGGAATCGATGGGGAAAGCATTGGCAACTGTCCCTTCTCTCAGCGACTCTTTATGATCCTCTGGCTAAAAGGCGTTGTGTTCAATGTCACCACTGTGGATCTGAAAAGGTAAACAATGCTGTATTAAGGAGGAATGTGTTTGGCTGCACGAACAGAGAACTTTCCATGAGGGAGGGCAGAAGCCTGCCCGTGGCTTCCAGCAGCCTCCTGCTCTCACCACATTGACCAGACTGTCTCAGGGCCAATCCCTGATTACAAGAGAGGCACCTGGGGCTGAGCATTTCTCTGCCCAGATTAACAAGGTTTGAGTAGCAAGAAAGGGGGAAGGAGTGGATATTGGATATGCAACTGAGAGTGGCCCAGAGGTGGGCATGCATATCTTAAAATCCAGGAGTCAGCCATTCCAGCGGTACCATCCTGGGGGACTCTACCAGGACTTAGCAGTACTAGCGCCCCATCCTGGGGCACCCTACCAGGACTTCAGGTGTAAGAGTCTGAGTTTCCAGGGCATTGGCATCTGACCATTTCCCCTTGCGTTGCTCTCATTTTTAGAATTCCTTAGTGTGAGAGTTCTGGATTATAGGCTGGGGATGGAGAGTTCCTCGTGCACTTTTAATGGTTGTTAAAAATACCAGGCATCATTCACTATCCAGAGCCACTCATTTCAGGCTCGTATCCTGCCTCCTGTCTTCTGCCTGTCCTTTCAATGCAGAGTAGCTCAAGGCTCACTCCCTGAGCCTCTATCATCTGCCTGTAGCTTCTTCCCTGGTGAGTTTAGCATATTCTCCATGTCGCCTTTATGTAAATTATTCTATACCCGGGACTCTACCATCTAGAAATCTCTAGGGAGATTTCCATTTGCATTTTCTATTATCACTTTAATATCTAGATGTCAAAAATTATATCTGTCGTTTCTGCTTTGAGTTGGGCTCCCCTCCCGAATTCCTGGGTTCTTCCATATTCTAAGCACTGGAGAATTTCCAGCTCCCTTCTCTTGCCATCTCCCTTGTCAACCAGTTGCCAAAGGCAGGGCATTGTCCCACTGTGCTACGGCTCACATCTGAGCCCTCTCCTCCGTTCCCAAAGCCCACACTGGGTTCGGGTCCCACCACTGCCTTCAGACTGTCTCTTTGTTCTTCCAACTGGACATCTTCCGTCCGGGTTCTCTCTCTCTCTCTGATCCATCATCTATATAATCCTAAGGTTACTCTTCCTAAAATAGTTCTTTAATCATGTGGCTCCCCCACTCGAAAGACCTTCTGATACTTCCCGTTGCCTGTGGAATAAACCCATCTGTAGGTCTTTGTCGGATCTTCAGCTTTCCACAACATTGTCTCCCAACGCTTCTCGCCCTGACCTAGCCGCCTCTGTCTGGCTGGACTACCTCTCGCCCCATCCCCCTTTGGCTGCCAGCCCCTGGCTAGGATGCTTCCTCTGCCTCACAGACGCTCTCCTGCCTTCCTGAATGGACAGACTGTGCCCAGTCTCCAGGCGCAGCAGCTTCAGCCTCCCTCCCCTGGATTATCATCTGCAACAGTGCACTCGTATGTTTGGCTGGGGATCAGAATGGGAAGGGAAGCCACCTCAGCATTCCTCAGATGCTTATATTGTTCCTTCATATCTGTTATCTGACCCTACCAATGCCGGGCAATATCCTAACTCCAGTTCAATAGATAAGGAAACTTTCTTACTGCAATAAATAAATAAATAAATAAATAAATAAATAAATAAATAAACTTTTAAAAAGGACAGAAAAGGAAAGAAACAAAAACAAAGAAAGAAAACATATATATATATATATATATAATAAAGAGTTAAGGACTTTTTAAAACATATGATACTATGGGGGACGCCTGGGTGGCTCAGTCAGTTAAATGTCTGCCTTTGGCTCAGGCCATGATCACAGGATCTTGGGATCAAGTCCCGCGTCGGGCTCCCTGCTCAGTGGGGAGCCTGCCTCTCCCTCTGCCTGTCATTCCCTCTGCCTGTGCTCTCTCTCTCTCTCTCACTGACAAATAAGTAAGTAAAAATTTTTTAAAAAACAAACAAACATATGATACGATGAAGTTTAGCAATTTCTAAGAATATTAATTTCCTATCCTGGCATCACCATTTGTTGGCCGAGTGACCTTGAACAAGGTCCTTCGTTGTCTGAGCCTCGGTTTCCTCGTCTGTACGATGGGGACGCAAGCACTGCCTCGTTCGCAGAGGAGCCGTGAGGATGCCGCGAGGCAGGCCACGGAGAGCATTTATGTTCAGGACTGTGCCTGGCTCACAGCAGGCACGACACGCTGACTCTTTGTAGCCTCATCCCTTCCCTCACAGAGCTGGTGAGGCAGTCAGGGAAAGAGGACCGACAGAGATGAAATAGTCCATAAATTAGACCTGGCAATATCGCATTAAATGCGAATTGCGTAATTTCAGCCATAAATGCTCAAGAGGGTCCATAAAGAGAGAGGCCCACAGCTGACCAGTGTCCCGTTGGCCGAGTCCAGCGGAGCACCATCTGTAGGCGGTACCCCCCAGGGATGCCAGCAGACTCCAGAGGCCATTGTTCTCTCGAGTCACAGAGGGGGAAAAAAATAATTTCTGTTTCTTTAAGCAACAGAGAGGTCATGGCAGAAAAATACAATGAGTATAGATTTCCCCTGCCTGCTGAGAACCCGCACATTTCTGCCTTGTGTCAGCTCTGAGAAACAGGAGGAGAAGGTAAAGAATGTCTTCTAATTGTCCAAAGGAGGGAACGCACACCAAGTCAACAAAGGGACCAAGTAGATGAGATCTTAAAACCACTCTCAGTCCCAGCGTCTCAGGAGTTCCAAGTACCACACAATGTAGCCGGAGAGAATGTGTGTTTGGGGAGTGATAGGGGAGTGAGCACCGTGATTGAAATTCTTCCCTTCCCCTCCCAAACTGATTATGCCAGGAATTTGTTTCATTACAGACTCCTCTACCCCTTGCTTACTTTTTCTTCAGTTGCTCCATCCAATGTTTTCTGCTCCCGACTCCCACAAGTGTTGCATTATCTGCGAGAGCATTTGGGATGAATCTGCTGTTCCAGCCTGGCTCAGGGACTTGTGCATTCTTATTCTTCCTCTTCCTCACTGTTTCTTTTGGCATCGCCCCCCACCCCTCATGCCCCCCATCCGCCAACTTTCCTTCTCTCACTTTGCTCCAGCCGCGCTCTTGCATTTCCACCAGCTGGTGGACACATGGAAGCACGCCCTTGGGCATGATCGGGGCTGTGGCGAGCACAAGGCCACTGTCTCTCCTGTTGCACAATCCCTTAACAATGCAGAAGATATCTCTTAGTATAAACGTATGATTGAATTCTGATTTTTTAAAGGTTAGCATCCTGTAGAATGCATTTTTGTTAAGCTAAGTGGCAAAGGACCTTTTGAAAACAAAGCCCAGCCTCTGCCCTGGGTATTAAAATCTTGGTACTCATTTCGACAGCCACCTGCCATCACTCTGTTTTTTCACTAGGACTCAACTCCTTCATCTTGAATTATTCTCATGACTTCCACAGGACAGACTTCTTGTGTCACACCATATCCCTTCAGAACTTTCTCCAACCTCCCCTGCTCTAGGCACCCCCACCATAAGTCTGTTTGGCGGACAGGCATGCTGGACAGCCCAGGGTGTCTAATTTACAAGCTGCAGATTCCCCCAAAGTTGAGGTGTCCTGGTGTAAGCCACCTCCTGAATCTCGATCTCTCTACAGAAAGCCGGCAGACCTGCACAACCTTGCCCCTGGCACGCATCCACCCTTCCTGACCTTCAACGGGGATGTGAAGACGGACGTCAATAAGATCGAGGAATTCCTGGAGGAGACTTTGGCTCCTGAAAAGTAATGAGCTGCTTATTTCTGAAGCTAATGGCAGGGGTGGGTCCTTGTTGGAATTAGAGAAGCACAGCGTTAGTTTTGAGGAGGCAGATTTCCAAAGGAGCCTCATCAGTCCAGAGCGTAGGACCCTCTTCTCAAGCCCAGAGAATTGCCAATCTCAAAACTGCTCCCCTAAGTCCAACTCCAAGAGTGGACACCCCTATGAACAGGATCTGCCTCCTCAGCAGAATGCTGGAAAGTGTGCCACCCCTCCATCCCCCTCCATGAGTCCTCCCCAGTTCACTTTGCCTGAAAGACCCCTAAACGAGGGCAAAGTCTCCCCCATTTTAGAACGAGAACTGGAAGGCTGACAAAATGAGAGTAAGCCAGGAGAGAGGTAACCCCATGACGTAAAACCAAACCCAAGTATAAACAGGAGTAACAAATCTGACCATGTCTGGTCAAAGCCCATAATCAAAGATGTAAAGACTGACTCCTTTTCTAAACTGGGCCCTGGGGGGATTTGGGGATGGGGAAGAGACTAGAGGGCTGTAGGCTTTCGGGTAGACCAGCTGCTCCTGAAGGAAAACAGGAGGAAAGGGAAGGAAGGTGAATTCTGAACGTTACTGGAAACTAGACTTGTTCCTTATACTCTATTGTAATCCGGGACTAAAACAACCACACTGTTTTGTTTTAACTAAAAAAAGGTTTCATATAGGTAAGGCTCACACAGACTCCATCCTGTAGGACAGCCACTGAAAAGTTTGAAGCAAAAGTGTTTAGAGTCAGGTTTCAGGCTTACTTCGGGGGGTGGGAAGATGAGGAGGGCAGAGGATGGAAAAGTCAGAGGTGGAGAAATCAATTAAGAGGAGCCACTTGATGACGGTTCATGGAAGACAGGCAAGGTGGCTGAGCTAAGGCAGTGACAGTGGACTGGGAGCAGAGAGGTAAGAATGACTCCGTGTCTGCCCAGCACCTAAAATAAGTGGGATTGGACCACTGGAAACCACCGTCTTGCATTTATTTTGAAGTTGTATTTATTTATCAATAATTTTATAGCCTTCACCAAGTGCCCTAGGAGATAGATGTTACCTAGCCTCATTTTGCAGCTGGGGAAACAGGTATCAAGAGGTTGAGTCACTTGCCCAAGGTCACACATCTAACAAGTGACTGTTAAGTTAAAATTCCCAACTGGTGCTCTGATTAAGCCTTAATATCTATACATTCTTCCTAAAAACTATTCTTGGTCATCCACCTTAGGACAGTTTATTTTCACACTGAGAGTGGAAAGCGGCCTCAAGTCCATTGGAAGCAGCTGAGTATAGACTTTAAATGAATCTATTGATTAAATCAGCCATAACCCCCATCTCAGCCACCACCAGAAGCCACAGCATCTCCGAACAGGACACCAGCCAGCCACTTTGCTGAAAGGGTCCTGAGAGGGCTCCGGTGCCATCCCCCCATCCTGGGACTCAGCCTCATCACTGGTGCTGGTTTGAAATCCCACACGAGAAAATAAATGCTGTTTGCAATAACTGAACAGAGTTTAGACTGTGCATGGGAGCCCCAGAAGGGACTGTCCAGGGGAAAGCTGTTTTCCTTTGAGAAGCAATACTCGAGCTCAGGAGTGACCACTTCTGTCTAGGTCAGTGGGGAACACAAAACGGGAGCGGTGGGGAGCACATTGTCCCCCCCGGTCCTTTGCCAGGCCAGTAGATGCAGGGCTGGGCTGAGCCCCCCAAGGCCTGAGGCCTTCTCTCCTAGTTCTGCCAGCTGTGTGCTGTGACCCCTTGAATATTCCTTCTCTGCTCTCAGCCTCCGTCCCCTCCTGTGTAAAAGGATGACCCAAGAGCCCCTCCTGTTCTTCACTTTAGCCAGGCTCCCTCCACCCCGACCGGCTGTGCCTTTCCCAGGCTGTTTCTCTTCCTCAGGGCTCTCTAGTCCTACATCCACAGTGGGACCAAGGGGGCCCCAGAGACCCTGAGAGTTACACGCCCCTAGTTCACATGTACATTCTTCCAGAGGAGGACCATCATCAGATTCATCATCATTTCATCAGATTCCAAAAAATTGCCATGAACCAAATAAGAGCTACCCAGTGTCAGACTTCCCTGTCCTCACACGTTACCTGTCCTAAGTTCTGCTTCCTCGGGTCCGCGTCCTTTTCTGGACTGCAGTTGTGTGCGGGAGGTTTTTCTCCATGCTCTCCTAACGTATCAGTGATGCAACGATCCACCACACCCAAGTAGCAGAACCTCAAAACTGTTAAAATGCATGTCTTGGGCGTGCCACCAAGATGGCGGCCCTAGTGATGAGGCGGGCAGCCGTCCTGGAGTCCTCAGGAATGCTCTTTAGATGACTTTGTATGGGTCACACTGGGGTGGAGGCCATCATTACCTTCTAGTAAATGCCCCCAAGCCAGTGCCTCGGCCCCACAAAGGGAGACCTGCTGTTCTGCACACAACAAGCCACCAGCCCCAGCTAGCTGCCCACCGATTCAAGCAGCAAGGCCTCTGTGGCCCGCAGCCGAGGCCCCTGGAGGAGCCCAGCTTGACCTTCTGGTTCTCCAGGGGGCAGCAAAACCCCCAGAACTGTTCACCGAACACTGTTCTGCCACGTGTTTCTCATCACACCACTGTTTGTAAAAGCTGCCAGAGAGCCAAGAAATTGTGGTAGCCTTTTTTCCCCTTAGCTTTACTTTTTAAAAGAAAAAAAAAAAAAAACACATGCAAACACTCCAACCATTTTTTTTTTTTTTTAATCACATTTGGTCCCGCAAAGCATTTGGTGTCAAAAGAAATTCAGGAAGTCTCAAGTAGTTTCTAAATGAGACTAACGTCCATTTCTTTCCTGAGACTGGCCCGGTTAACACTCAGTAGGGAAGCACTGGGATCAGCCTGGTGATTACTGTCGAGGCATGCTGGGCCTCACCTTTCACCTCCATAGAGTGGCCAGAGTTCAGAGGATCCAGAACTGAGAGGCAGGAGAGCAGGCTCTGGCCACCTTTCTATCACGTTTGTGGGATGGCCTTGGGCCAGCCTCTCTCCCATTTCCTCATGAGGGGGTGGAACTGTGTAGTCCCAAAGATGCTTTTCAGCAGAAGCTCTGTGATCCCGTGAGGATCTCAAAGCCCTTTTCCAGAGCTGGTTATTATTTAAAATACCCCTTGTGCATAGTTGGTATGAGAAGAAGTCAGGAGGGCAAACTGATAATGTATCACAGCCCAGCAAGTAGTCAGTCAACTAGCAAGTATGTACTGAGGACAAACGGGGTCCTGAACATAGCCAGAATTGGAAGACGCTTTCAATTCATTATTTTGAGAAGTGTTTATAGATATCTCACAATAGAGAAAAACAAGAATTCTTCTCATCCTCCGGGAAGTAGAGAAGCAGCCTTGGTACCAAAGACAGGATCGAGTGGTGGCTGAGAAGATGGTCTTTGGGGCCAGAATGGCTTGCATTCTAATCCACACCACGAGGTTGTGCCACATAAATTAGCCACAGAATCTCAGTAGCTTAGCAGAGTACAGTTTATTCCTCACTCTGGCAAAGTCTAAGTGGGCAGTATGGTCCTCTTCTGTATTGTAGCCTTTGGAATATGGGACCCCCAAGGCTCCTTCAGCAGAGAAAAAATAAGAAGGTTCATACCAAATGTTTTTAAGGGCCGGGGCTGTGAGTGGTTACATCACGTCCCCTCTCATCCTATTGGCCAGAACCCAGTCGCATGACCCCAATCTAACTGAGAGGCGGAAGCTGGGAAATGCAGAGAAGTACATGGATATTTAATCTTTAATTCTCACATCTGTAAAATAATGATTGTAATGTTGATCTTGTGGGACTATCATAGAAGATAATACTACTTAGCCTAGTGCTGAACATCAAGTAAAAAGCTCATGAAGTGGCACCTTGAAGCATTAGAAAGAGAAGTCACTACCTTTTTTGTGACTGTCTTCCAGATTTAATCAAAGGACCTGCGTCTTAAAACCGCAGATCCCAAGGGATGTCTCTTAATGACTAATCCAGACCCTGTCTACCTCTAAAGATCATTTGCTTAATTAGCAGAGACAAGACAAGCAAGCACACGGCCAAGGATCAGAAGAGTCAGAAACATTAACCTGGTTTTCAAGTGAGCGTTTGGCAAGATGAAGAAACAGGAATAAAGGAAAAGGGAGAGAGAACTTTTCAGCTCATTGGAAAAAGGAGGGTCAACACTCAAGCTGCCACGGAGCCCCTAGGATCGGCAAAGGCCCCTCCATCGGGGCAGGAGAATTGTCTCCCTCTCTCCAGTGTATCCCCAACCCCAGGGACAGGACCTGGCCATGGTGGATGCTTAATGCATGCTGGTTTTATTGCATGGGCCCCTTGTGTTCAGTGGCATGGTGGCCTGTGGCTAGTCAGTGAGAAGTCAGTGGGGGCCCTAAGCCAGTGAGAGCACTTCCATCTGCATATATATATATATATATATATATAAAATTTCACTACTATTTACAAAAAAAAATTTTTACGAGAGGCCAACTGTTTTGCATCCCAGAACGAAGTTTAAGTGTATGTCTAAGATGAATGCTTTTGAAATAAGACATCTTAAAAATAGAATGGAGAGAAATTGTCATCAGGTAGAGCAGGGATCAGCAAACTTCTCTGTAAGGGGCTAGATAGTAAGCCTTTTTGGCTTTGGGGGCTATAGAGTCTGTGTCACAACTCCGCTGCTGTAAAAGTGCAAACAGCCATATACAACACGTAAATGAATGGACATGACTGTTTTCTAATTAAATGTATGAATACTGAAATAGGAATTTCATATTATTTTCACAGATCCCAAAATACTACCCTCCTTTTGATTTTTTTCATTTAAAAATGTTATAAAAACTATTCTTAGTTCATGGGAGGTATATAAACAGATATTGGGCTGAACTTGACCCATGGGCTGTAGTTCACTAACTCCTGAGTTAGAAAAATTCACCATATCTTTGATTGTCATCAGACCACATCACCGTCTTACTTCAAAGATGTTTCTATGGATGAGACACTATTTCTTAGCCTTCTAGAGAAACAGAATGTACTCTGTAGACCATTTATTTGCATATACAAAATATGGTATAAATATGGAGCGAACATGAATGCCCTTAACATCCCAGTATAGTAGCCTCCTCAAGTCTAGTTACCGAAATCAGTGAGATTAATATTTGGATACACATTTCCCACAAAGACAAACTTCAAATGGGACATTAAGGACAGTAAGCTGTACAATGAAGTCTCAGGAAATCATAGTGCTTAGAAAACAGGCCAGCACTAGCCTGGTTTCCCTGAACACATGGCCCTTTGTTGTCCATCTTAAATTTGGTTCTACCTACTCATGATGGGCCCACACTGATGATGAAGAAGTTGTCAGATTATTGCAAGTCTGGTCAAATGATGGCATAAAGCAAAACAAAACAACAAACCCAAACAAATAGTCTGCTGAAAATGCATTTTCTAGGCCCTCTCTTTTTACCTTATCAAGCAAGAACAAAGAGCACTTGGTATTTATTAATAATAATAATTTAAGGCAATCAGTTCTGAGAGCCTACCAGATTCTGTGTGCAAAGGCCAAAATAAGGAAGGATGACCCTAAATTGCCATGGGCTTGGATTACCTAGCATCCTGCAGGAAACTTGCCTGGTGCCCCCAATGACTGTAGATGAATCTGGTAATTCCCAGTATACTCAGGAAGATGTGTGTGCTGAACCTGTGCAGAGCGCCCTCTGCAGGCGGATGGGGAGAGTGCATTCATGGTGTTCCTCTGAGCTGGAGGGAGGGCTTTGGGGCTTTAAGGGTAAATAGCAGAGTCCAGGAGAGGCCAGAAGACACCGAACTGGAGAGCTGGGCTTCCAGAGTGAAGCTGCCTGGGTTGAAGTCCTGGCTTTGCTCCCTAGCCGTGTGACCTTAGGCAAATTGCTTAACTTCTCTGGGCCTCCTTTTTCTTACATGGGAAATGAGCCCAATCAGAGTACCAATAGAACTGTGAAGAATAAATGGTGGATACATGTAAAGGGGCTAGAACAGTGCCTGGCATGTAGCAGGCACTCAGTGCAAGTTAGCTTTTGCAGATATCAGAGAAGTGGTGTGATGGAACAGGAAGAACACTGCGGGCCGGGTTCTCACAGTCCCCCAGTGATTTCTTAGCCGTGGGTCCTTTTAGCTTTCTGGTCTCTAGCTGCCTTCCCTGTAGAGTGACGACCAGAATGCTTTCGTATCTGCCTGATGGCAGAGGGCTGGACCCCATAACTTTTCGAGGACTCTTCCAATGGCACTATCTGAAATTAAACAGTCACCTAGCATGGCCCAAGAGTGGACAGTCTTAGCTAGCTAATGGGTCAATCAAGGAGCAGCAAGAGAGAGAGAGAAAGAGAGAAGGAAAGAAAGAAGGAAGGAAGAGAAGGGAAGAAAGAAAACAAATAATTTTTGAAGACTTTTTGGTTCACATTATTTACAACATTAAAGGAAATTTAAAAAGTATTTTTCTTTTTAACATAAAGCAATCAAACAGTGGGCAGTAGACATCTATTCACCCAGAGATCACAAAGGTCCACATAATGGATAATGATGATAAGTAAGCAACTGTCCCCCATCTCATTCCACCCTGCCTGGCCATGCACATAAAATGTTTGTGAAATAACATTTCTAGAAAATCTGATCATACTAAGGGGGTCAAAACCATGGATTCCCACACAAGCAAGCTTATCTCACTCAGTTTTAAAACCAACAGAAACTAGTCCTAACTCTGGTCTGCCTTTTCTATTCTTCTGGCTTCAAATGAAAGACTGTGCCAAGGTGAGAGGCTGGATCATTGCAAATCTAGCTCCATGCCTGGAAATAAAGTAATCAGAAACACTCATCCTGCTGTTAGATCCTGGTAGATTCCACTATTACTGCACATGAATAAGAAGCGTGTGGAGGATATTTCAGAAGACCAAGGGTACCCTTTCTTTTGAGAAAAGTCTTGAAAGCCTCAATGGCAAGGTGCCTACTATCTCCTGGCTTCTAGAATTAGTTCTGTACAATTAGGATTATCATCACAGACCTGGCAGTGGATAGTTATTTTAATATGGGTTGGGGAAATGTCAGGGACCACACTCGATGTAGAGGCAAGCTCCTCCAGAACTTTGATTAGCCCTTTCTTTGGTGCAGCACTGTATGGGGTCTCGGATGAGACTCGGGCCCTCTGAGGGGCCTTCTGGTTGCCTGCCCACAGATTGTGTCTCCCAGAGGCAGCTCCCCTCACCGCCTTGACCTCTGTTTTCTCTGCCAGTGAACTGGGACAGAGAGTGCCCACCCTCCCTATAGGCTGGGTGTAAGATCCCCCCCAAAAGATTTGCAGATCAAACTAGAAAGGGGGATGTTGTGCATCGTGTTGGGCATAGTCTCTCCCTTAAAGGAACTCCATGTTCTCATTGATTCAAGAACACCACGACTTCCATTCCAGGTACCCCAAACTGGCTGCAAAACACCGGGAATCCAACATGGCCGGCATCGACATCTTCTCCAAGTTCTCGGCCTACATCAAAAACACAAAGCAGCAGAACAATGCTGGTGAGTGACCCACTTGCACCCACAGCTCCTGGCAGTTGTGCCCACTACCCAGGACATCTCAGGTACTCGGGTCCAAGAAGCGCCTGGAGCTGGTGCTGTTCACTGTTTGCCCACATCCATGTCCCCCTGTGACAGAGGGAGGGCGTGTCAATCCTTTTTGTCTAGTACAAGAGGAAAAGCCAGTGGGCCTTTGTGCTGAATTTGGAGGGAGGGAGACACCTTGTGTTCTGAGCCTGCTTAACTGCACAGCGTAATGGTCTGCCCAGAAGTTTCCTGCCTCAGCCATACCACAAATTTGGGCCATTTGTCCCAAATTCACAACCCTGCCTGGGTTCTTGGGAGGCCCTGCCTGGAACCACATAGTCCAGCTTCCTTCTGGTCCCTGTAAGCCTTCTCAAGGGGTCGTGCAGAGGTCATGGGGGGACAGCACGGTCACCATGTTGGTGAATGCTGCAGGTAGAACCCAGCCCTCTGCTTCCTCCCCCTACTGCAAGTGCAGAGGGTACTGGGGAAGCCACAGCTCAAAACCTGTCTCTTCCTCCATCTGGCCGTGGCTATAGAGCCCAAGACTAGTTCTCCTGTGAGGCCTTTTCAGAGGGGTCTCAGTGCCTCATTTAAGCTCCTAGCACTCTAAGTACCTCATTTGGCCTTTCCTTTAAGAATTAGACAAACAATTCGAATAGAACCATCCAACTGAGTGTGTGTAACACTTAAGAGCTGTGTTAGGCCCTGGGAGGAAAAAGAAGGATGAGCAAGTTTGCTTGCCTCCCGGTGGGAGAGCGAAACAGCCTTATGGGCAGAAGCCTGGAGCCCAGCACAGAGCCAAGCAGAGCAAGGACTTTGCGAATCTTTGTGAATAAATGAGTGAACAGATGACCATCAGGTGAACACAGAATGGACCCACACAAGGTGGGATATGTTAGACACTCCAGGAGCTCAGAGGAGAAAGGCATCTTTTTGGACAAGGTGACCGGGAAGGGCAGCCATCATGAAGCGAAAGGGAAGACGTTTTGGCAGGAACAGAGTTGGTGCAGTGGAAAGTAAATATTTTGGTAACAGTTATTGGGGGCCTGGATTATAAGGGGCACAGACTAGATTCTACAGTAACTAGAAAAAGATACTTCCCCAGTCTTGAAGACCTGGGTCGTACAGGAGAAAAGGCTTAAACTGGCAAAAAGTCAAACAGCAAGAAAAGAGATAAATGATGGCTTTGTCAAGGAGTCTGAGGAGTTGATTAGCTGCCATGTGAAAGGGGGAGCGAAAGGTGTTCAGAGGTGTTCAGAGCAGGAAGAATTTACCTCAGGACCTTTGAGGAAGCTGCTCTGAGGGGGTTTCAACTGGCTCATGAAGGTTAAGGGGGAGTCAGTTGGCTTCGCATACAAGGAGGAGGTCATGGCGGGAGGTGGAAAATGCCAGTGGCAGAGACTGAAGAGAGTGGCCAGAGCCTGCAGCGCCAGCCTGGAAGGCTGGGCTTTATCTTCGGAGCCATGGCAGCCATTAGAGGCGTGGAGGAGGCACGAGAAGGAGACTGGCCTTCAGGAACAAGAAGAAGAAGAAGAAGGGATGTGGAGAGGTTTTAAACATGGGTAGTGCTCTAGCTTCCGTGCTGTTTGGACCTTGGTGGGCGGAAGAGTGTCCCCAACAGAGCCATGTCCGCCCAGGACTTGAGAGTGAGGCCTTATTTGGAAATAGGGTCTTTGCAGATGTAATTAGTTGAGGGTCTCAAGATGAGATGGTCCTGGATATAGTGTGGTCCCTAAATCCCACCACTGGTGTCCTTGTAAGAAGGGGAGTGGGCACACAGAGACCCGGGGAGAGGTTCGTGTGAAGGTGGGATGGAGATTTGGGTGCGACAACCAGATTGGGGGGCCACCAGAAGCTGAAAGAGGCGAGGAAGGACTCCCCCGTAGAGCCTCGGGAGGGAACAGGGCCCTGCTGACAGCTTGATTTTGGACTTCTGGCCTCTCAAACCGGGAGAACAGATTTCTGGTGTGTCGAGCCACCCAGTTTGGGGTGCTTTGTTGTGGTGGGGCTGGGACGCAAAGGCAGCCCCTCTGGGCTGGGTGCACAAGGGCATTCAGCTCTAGTTTGCAGATTCCACATCCCAGGCCCTTTCCTCTCAGCCACAAATACCTTCCTTCAGACTTGTCGAAGCACCCTCAGAAGGATTATCTCATGGGAGCCTTCCAGGGTTTTCAAGTTACAAATGGTATTTATATAGTATCCATATTTACAGTTCTCCTATCCCCAACCCCAAAGCAGCAGTTTCCACTGAACATCCCATATCGGTTTCTTATAAACGCAACGCTCTCCAGTTTCCATTGTTTCCACTTCTTCTCTTTCCCCCTGTTTTTCTCTGGGATGGGTTCTGCCCTTGTGACTCTTTCTCCCCTGAACTCATCTGCCCCGGCCTTTCTGCTGTCCCAGAGAACCTGTCCCCATCACAGCCCTTGGCATGGGGGTTCTTCCGTCCTGCCTTTAACTGGACTCCGTGCATTTGTTCCTTCCCTATAACCATAGCCTGCCCACCCTCCCACTGCCCTCCTCCTCCACTTTCCCTTCCCTCCACCCATAGCCCCCCAGTTCAGGTCTGCTGGGTCCAGAAGTTCTTAGGCTCGGCAAACCAGAAGCCAAGACAGAGCGTAAAACCATGGCCCACCCCACGCGGCCGCTTGCCCTGGAGACGGTCCACACCCAGCTCTGCTTCCTGCCGGCCCGGTAGCAGGCAGCCCCTCCTGAGGCTGCAGCGAGACCCCAGGCTTCCTTTGACACCCCTCCCTACACGACTTTCATGTTTCTCTCTCTGGATCTTCAGCTCTGCATCTGTTTCTTCAGTGTCCCTTCTTCAGATTGTCCCTTTCGCGTTTTCAACTTTCTTTTCTCTTGAAAAGAGCCCTCCCTCCCACCTCGCCATCTAAAGCCTCCCAGACCCCATATATACACTGACCGTGGCGGTGTGCCTTTCTTGCCCTCTTGACATCAAAGTGTGAGAAAACCCAACCCGGTGACATGGTCCTGCCCGGTGGGTCATCTCCCCACTCCCGTGGTGCATACAGGGACTGCCATTCAAAATGTCCCTGTTTCACAAAACCTCAAAAGTCCCCAGCTACTGAGACCCAGACCCTATGCAGGGAAACCAACCACAGCTAGCATACAAGAGAACTGTCCTTTAGTTTGTACATCCGGCCGTTCGTTTATTCATTCAGCAAACACAGGTTTCATGGAGTGGCTACAAGTCCAAGCTAATGTTTAAAGGGAATTTCTTGTGTACCAGGCACCATGCTAGGTTCCAGAGTTGTCAAGACAAGTGAGACCAAGTGGTTGCTCTCAATGAGCTAACTGGGGGACTGTAAAACATATAAACAGGCGATTACTGGCCTGGGTTGGGGCTGCACATCTGCTGTTTTTAGGTGTACAACTTTTCTAGAGAGACTTCTCTTAGAGCCTCTGTTTCTGCATCTATAAAATATACTTAGTAAGATTTTCAATTTCTGGATCTGCCAAATAAGGCAATTAATAGCATAACCATGTTGTAATGCAGATTCATTGACTTTATAAGTCAGGGCCTACAAATCCTGACACATGGGAAATGTTCATTTACTGTTCACTCTGATTATAGTTGCTCCTGAAAAAACGAGGCAAACATGAATAGTGGCATCAGAAACCACTGCTTCAGCTCTTATTCCCGCCACCGCCAGCCAGCACTTCCCAATCTCCCACTCATGTCATCTCATTTCTACATGTTTAACTTTGTTTCCCACTTTCTTGGTGCCTTCTTCTCCTCTCCAAGGTTATGTGGAAGAGCGTCCGTGCCCTGGCCCTGCCTGCCACATCTTCAGGATTGTTGCATTCGACCCCGAAGTCAGAGTTTTATGCTCTGGTTTGGTGTCTTATCACTGTATGGCATCCTCCCTCTGTAACCACCCCGTCCGGGTCCCCTTGAGAGCAGATCCCACCTCCAGGCCCCGCCAGGCCCCCTTCTCAGACTTGCTCTTCACCTCACCTAAAGATAGCCCGGACTTTCTCTTGAGTCTCTCTCTCTCTCTCCCTCTTCCTCCTGCTTGTGTGCTCTCAAATAAATAAATAAATAAGTAAGTAAATAAATAAAATGAATGAAAGTCTCAAGATCCCATATTTAGTAAGATGTTACATGGGCTTACTTTCTTGTCACTTGGGATCCCCTACCACCACCCTGATTTGTGGGGGACACAGGATTTTGTTTCTGGACGGGCTGCATTCCCAAAGCTCAGAGACCAGCAACTGGATGGTGGTTCAGCTTGCAGACTCTGAAATCTACTGCCTGGGTTCAGACTCCAGCTTCCCTCTCTTCTTGCTGGCCTTAGGACACTGGGCAATTTACATCAACTCTCAGTGTGCCTCAGTCTTCATCTGTAAAGTGGGGGCAGTAACTGTCCATACCTCATAGGTGTGCTGGGAACAACGCCCCCTCTGGGTTCAAACGTCAGCCCTTGTTCTGGGCTGTTATCCAGGGGCAAACGGGTACACCTCAGCAGAGAGGTCTGCCGTGAAAGTGTAGCTTGAGAGGGTATATATATATGATATAGTCCATGAATGAGAAGAAGGGAGCACTAGGGACAACATGAAGGATCACCTCCCCTTATGGGAGGGCAGCGAGAGAGAAGTCAAGGAGGAAGGTTAAGAAGGATCGGCCAGGGAGTAAAGAAGAAAGCTGGGAAGGGCAGAAGACAGGGAAGATCCTGAAGCTGAGGAAGGAAAGTTTTTGTTTTTGTTTTTGTTTTTTTAAGAGTGATCTGTGGTACAAAATGCTGTGCAGAGGATCATGGGAATTTTCGTGTTGCGCACAGCTCCCTGGAAGAGTCCTCGGGCATCCTTCTCTGACCACACCTCCCTCGCCTGCAGCAGCCCATTACTCAGATCCTACACAGCAGGAGGGAGTCCAGGCTGGCCCGAGAAGCAGGGACCTTCTCCCTTGGCAGGAAGAGGGGGGGTAGGCGCAAGAGGAGACCACTTGGAGGGTG